ATGAACAAGATAGGTTCTATCAGTCTGTTCTTAAACTGAATTTGTTTGTAAGCCACAACAGATACATTTTTAAATAACTCCAACCACACAAACATATATATCAGTGTTTCTCAACCCCTGTGGGGATCGCGAGGGGCTGTCAGAGGGATCGCCAAAGACCATCAGAAAACATAGTATTTTCTGTTACTCATGGGGGTTCTGTGTGGGAAGTTTGGTCCAATTCTATCATTGGTGAGGTTCAGAATGCTATTTCATTGTGTGTGAACTATAAATCCCAGCAACTACAACTCACAAATGCTGAGGTCTATTTTCCCCAAACTCCACCAGTGTTCACATTTGGAGATATTGAGTATTTGTGCCAAGTTTAGTCCAGATCCATCATTGTTTGAATCCACAGTGCTCTCTGGGTGTAAGTAAACTACAACTCCAAAAATTCAAGGTCAATGTCCCCCAGACCCTCCCAGTATTTCCTCTTGGTCATGGGAGTTCTGTATGCCAAGTTTGGTTCAATTCCATTGTTGGTGAACTTCAGAATACTCTTTGGTTGTAGGTGAACTATAAATCCCAGCAACTACAACTCACAAATGACAAAATGAATCCCCCCAACTCCACCAGTATTCAAATTTGGGCGTATCGGGTATTTGGGCCAAATTTGGTCCAGTGGAATGAAAATCCATCCTGCATATCAGATATTTACATTATGATTCAGAACAGTAGCAAAATTACAGTTATGAAGTAGCAACGAAAATAATGTTATGGTTCGGGGTCACCACAGCATGAGGAACTGTACTAAGGGGTCGCGGCATTAGGAAGGTTGAGAAACACTGATATATATGCTTTGCATAGCATAGCGAAGGGTTAACACCCTTCCTCACTTTCTGTCCCTGTGACAATTGGATTTTGAAAAATGGGGCTTGCTGTGGAAACAAGGATTAGAGAGAAATCTTCAGCGGAGACACCTTTTCCCGTGATAATAATTCTTCCAGGAATGGCCCCTGGGTTTTCTATTGTTGTTCCTGTTACAAAGGCTGGGTGTCCATCTGTTGAGAGTGTTTTGATTGTGCTTTTCCTGCATGGCAGAAGGGGGTTGGACTGGATGGCCTCTGGGGTCTTCCACTGAAATACTGGAACTATATTATTTTGTAAGCTGTTCTTGGAAGGACTTGGGGGGTTGAAATCAGGAAACATTTCATAATTGTATAATTTGATTAAAATACTTTTATCCCATCCTGTGCCTGAGAAACAATTAATTGTCGAAGGCTTTCATGGCTGGAATCACTAGGTTCTTGTAGGTTTTTTCGGGCTATAGGGCCATGTTCTAGAGGCATTTCTCCTGACGTTTCGCCTGCATCTATGGCAAGCATCCTCAGAGGTAGTGAGGTGTCACCTCACTACCTCTGAGGATGCTTGCCATAGATGCAGGCGAAACGTCAGGAGAAATGCCTCTAGAACATGGCCCTATAGCCCGAAAAAACCTACAAGAACCAAACAATTAATTAATTGGAGGAATTTAAATTAATTGGAGGAATTTAGAGCAGTAAGAATTACGACCAATTAAAACTGTTAAGCAAGGTTGCAAGCTGGGATAGGACCATTTGAAACCTATTGAAACACCCTTGAGATATTTTGAGAGTATGCATGTTTGCAGATTTGGGTGAAATTGGTTAGGCGTTATGTTTTTATGGGATACAAAAATGACAGGATAAAGACATTCTGAGCAAACAGTCATATTCAAGTGTTATTTAAATGCGTGTAGTACATGTAAGAAGAGAGAACACAGTAACTCTGCCTTTTAGCCATCATTTCCATGATTTTATGAACACAAAAGACAATGGTTCGTAATGGAAAATACCAACTATTCATTGGAGGCTCTATAAAAGATTTGGCAGTTTGGGAACTGACACAGGCACCTTCTACACTGCCTTACAAAATCCAGATTATCTGCTTTGAACTGGATTATATGGCAGTATAGACTCATATAACCCAGTTTAAAGCAGATATTGTGGATTATCTGCTTTAATGAGCCCCCGGTGGCGCAGTGGGTTAAACCCCTGTGCTGGCAGGACTGAAGATTGACAGGTCGCAGGTTCGAATCCGGGGAGAGGCGGATGAGCTCCCTCTATCAGCTCCAGCTCCTCATGCAGGGACATGAGAGAAGCCTCCCACAAGGATGATAAAAACATCAAAAATCATCCAGGCGTCCCCTGGGCAACGTCCTTGCAGACGGCCAATTTTCTCATACCAGAAGCAACTTGCAGTTTCTTAAGTCGCTCCTGACCCGACCAAAAAAAATATCTGCTTTGATAATCTGGATTATATGGCAGTGTAGAAGGGGCCGAAGAAAACCTCATTAAATTTGAATAATCTCTGGATAGAGCTGCCACCATGGAATAATGTTGTAGATATTATTTTAGTTGTTTAGTTTCCTTTTTAGTAGAATTTAAAACCTGGGCCTATGTTTTCTTTAGGTGCTATGCAAATAGGTACTATATCAATTTGGATGATTTGATTTAAATAAAATTGATTTAAATTGCTACTCTAAGGGACTCAGTTTTAATTATTTAAATCACGGTTTAAATCACTAGTGGAGAGGATTCTATTTAATTATAATTATTTTCAGTAGAAGTACATTATTGTGTAATATAACCTTAATGCATATTCAAATATGTAGATTTCATTAGATGTTAGGTACATGCCAAGCAATTACCTGTACGCTGAATTGTTTTTAGATTAATTTTCAATCCATCAAAAATTAGATCTCTTGTATTTTTATCCATTGCCCCAAAGTCCCTGTTCATTGATATTCTCTATTTTGACATCAAAACATTACCAATTTATCACTATATATCAAAGCGACAGCCTCGCTGCCAAAGTAGTGTTTGAGGTAGACCATGACAATCTGTTCTATACTTTGAAAGCTGCCCGTTTTTACAAAAGTCAAACCGTTTGCTTGATATCACAGTTCATATGTTTAGTGGAAGTGATTTCATTAATAGCCTTTTCACAAATTTGGATCTGAATGTTATTTATAGTCCCTATTAGAGTAGACTTACTGATTCACTTGGTAAGTGGTAAGTCAACATCTGACAATGTTTTTAATGGGTTTTAACTGTTTTTAATGGGTTTTTAACTATTTACTGTTTTCAACTGTTGTTATATTTGTTTATATTTGTATTATCTTGTGACATTGAATTAGAAATGTGGGAAATGATTAATAAATAAATATGTAAATTCCCCTGATGTAATGGAATTTATATATATTACATCAATGGCTCTACTCTAGTTGGGTTAAATAGTAGGATTTATGCCTTGCTGTTTTATACATATGCATTAGTACCTATAGCAGTGTTTCTCAACATTCCTAATGCCGCGACCCCTTAATACAATTCCTCATGTTGTGGTGACCCCCAACCATAACATTATTTTCATTGTTACTTCATAACTGTCATTTTGCTACAGTTATGACTCATAATGTAAATACCTGATATGCAGGATGTATTTTTATTCACTGGACCAAATTTGGCACAAATATCCCATATGCCCAAATTTGAATACTGTTGATTTTGTCATTTGGGAGTTGTAGTTGCTAGGATTTATAGTCCACCTACAATCAAAGAGCACTCTGAACTCCACCAACAATGGAATTGAACCAAACTTGGCACACAGAACTCCCACGACCAACAGAAAATATTGACAGGGTCTGGTGGGCATTGACCTTGAGTTTTGAAGTTATAGTGCGCCTACATCCAGAGAGCACTGTGGGCTCAAACAGTGATGGATCTGGACCAAACTTGGCACGAAGACTCAATATGCCCAAATGTGAACACTGGTGGAGTTTGGCTAAAATAGACTTGACATTTGGGGGTTGTAGTTGCTGGGATTTATAGTTCACCTACAATCAATGAACGCTCTGAACCCCAGCAACCAGGCATGTAGCCAGGAGGGGGGCTTGAGGGGCTTCACCCCCCCCCCCCCGAAATTCTCATGGTGGTTCGCGAACAGGCCTTACTGGTGCATTATTTAAACTGTTATGTTTATTCATATCATGATCTGATCACCATACTCAATATATCCCATATGCATGGGGGTATTGGGGTAATGATACAAAAGGTTTGCTAGGCTAGACCCTCTTTCACTCAGACTCGCCCCCCCCCCCGAAACTCAGCCCCCCCCCAAAAAAACCTGAAAAAAATTTAGCCCCCCCCCCCTACCCCGAAACAAAATCCTGGCTACGGGCCTGCCAGCAACCATATAATTGGGCCAAACTTTCCACACAGAACTCCAATGACCAACAGAAAATACTGTGTTTTCTGATTATATTTGTTGACCCCTCTGACACCCCCTCGTGACCCCCACAGGAGTCCTGACCCCCAGGTTGAGAAACACTGACGTATAATGAAAGAGAACAAGTATAGTATAATAGTTTAAGTGTTGGATTATAACCTCTGGAGACCAGCGTTTGAATACCTGCATAACCATGGAATCATATTTTTATTTATATTCTGCTTTATTCCCCTGGAGGGACTCAAAGCGGATTACAGTACACATATAAGGCAAACATTCGATGCCATTTTATGCAAAAAACAAACAAAAACAAAAACAAAAAAAACAACATACAACACACAGATAAGGTAAAGGCTTTCCCCTTTTTCCATTTCCGGCATCTGGAGGCACTGCTCAACTTCCAACCTTAAGGAGGTGCTTTTGTTCCATTTTTCATACTGAAGGAGCCTTCTGTCTGTAGACATCTCTGATCTTTTTGCTGACATGTCTGTATAGGGTGTCCTTTTACCTTCCTACCGAGGCAGTAGCTATTGATCTACTTGCATTGTATGCTTTTGAACTGCTAGGGGGGTAGAAGCTAGGACTGACAGTCGGGAGCTCATCCCGACTCATGGCTTCGAACTGTTGACCTTCCAATCAGCAGCTTTTCCTGTAGCTAGCGGCTTTTAATGACTGTGACAACAAACCTGTTGTGAAAAGTATAATTTATTCTCATGTGTAGAACATCATGTCGGAGATGGCCCTAGCAGAAGAAGAATACCCAACAGAGATTCAAGATTATCTCTTGGCCTTTGAGAAGTCTGTCAGTTCTGTAGATGATATGTTGAAGACCATGATGTCTGTGTCCAGAAGTGAACTTCTCCAGAAGGTAAGAAGATGATAAAGGCACAATAGTGTTTGCCTGCTTAAGTCATCAGTGATTTGTTGTGTTAGCAGACTTGGTTTGGAAAGACAACTTATGCATGCTTGAAGAAGAACATAAAATCCAAATGTTAAGGGCTCCCAGGGTGGTCCATGCCTTAGTCACCTCCAGATTGGACTACTGTAATGCGCTCTACGTGGGGCTGCCCTTGAAAACGGCCCGGAAATTCCAACTGGTCCAACGGTCGGCGGCCAGGTTGTTAACTGGTGCTCCTTACAGGGAGAGGTCAACCTTCCTGTTTAAGGAGCTCCATTGGCTGCCGCTCATTTTCCGGTCCCAATTCAGGGTGCAGGTGCTTACCTACAAAGCCCTAAACGGTTTGGGACCTGCCTACCTGCATGACTGCATCTCCGTATATGAACCCACACGATCTCTCCGATCATCTGGAGAGGCCCTGCTCATGATTCCACCTGCGTCACAAGCGCAATTGGTGGGGACGAGGGACAGGGCCTTCTCCGTGGTGGCCCCCCGACTCTGGAACTCTCCCCAAGGACATCAGACAAGCCCCAACATTGGCAGTCTTTAGGAAGAGCTTGAAGACGTGGTTGTTCCAGTGTGCCTTCCCAGAATAGGAAACTCCAAGCATCATGTCCCAAATGCACTTTACTAGAGATTTAAGATTGTCTGCACACCGCACCTATCTCCAAAAACCTATTTCACCTGTCATGTCCAGCATTTTTAAAATTTTTAATCATTACATTTGGCCCGGCCTTAGTTTTAAATGCATCGTGGTGTTATTGTCTAATGTTTATTGCTATTGTTTTAATGTTTATTGCTTGTTTTATGAGTTTATTTATTGTTGTATTTGTTATGCTGTTGTTTTATTGATGTGTTGGGCCTCGGCCTCTTGTAAGCCGCACCGAGTCCTTCGGGAGATGTTAGCGGGGTATAAATAAAGGTTTATTATTATTGTTATTACACTGTTCTACAAATTTTCAGTTTTTCTCAGTTGCAGAAAAGAAATGTGCCATTTCTTAATAAATTTAACATGCTGAATTCAAATATAATAATTAAATGTGTTAATTGGCTCTGGTTTTTATGCAACAGCTATTTCAATTTTCTCCACAATAGATAATTTGTTAATATTATGATAATGCGCCTAACCTTACTGCATGTATATAAACCGTGAATATTTACTAAATTTTAGTCAAATTATATTGCCAATAGTTTATACATGAGAAATATTTATTTAATTAGTCTATTGTTTATGTTTGTGCAGCAAGAAACTATATTAGTAGGCCTAATGCAGTTGAAAAGTTTAAGTGTCGCTTTAATCGTGACTTTAGTTTATATCCTGTTTGCTTCTCTTGACTTTTCTTTTGTATTCAAGGAAAGGATTGTCTCTTACAATGCTCCAGCAGTAGTCTGACAGCATTGACGGAGTCCATTTGCCTTGATATCTTTTTTCCATAGTGCTTTATTTACACACGTGCGAGGCATAACTACAGTAAAAAGAACAATGTAAAACGATGTTTAACGATACTGTCTCAGTCTTCAACTGACTGACCCTCACCGTTCAAAAGTCTGGCCTTATATAGGGCTTTTTGGCTTTTGCACACGGCACTAATACTGCATCATCAAACTTTCTAGAATATTCTAGAATCTTCCATAGTGTAAGTCGCAACATGCATTTTTCAACCATACGTGATCACGTGATTGCTTATATCATAAAAACTAGAGCCAATATACATTTTTAAATGTCATTTTCGTTTTCAGCACCCCAAAATCATAAAAGAACAACTATTTTCAGGCCCGAAACTTTTTCTCCGTTGAACAGTGTTATTATTCCCAGGATCTAGCCACATCCCCTGAAGTAGATTTGTTTTCTTCATCTCTATTTCTAGAACAAATCAGTCCTAAAATGCAAAATCTTGTTATACGGTATCCCTTCCAGGTGTATAAAGAAACAAATAATATATAAAGAATCTTTTTATTTCCCCTTTCAACACCTAGCAACAGCACAAGGTATTGCCTGAGGTATTTGTACATGTATATTTCAACATTTAAAATACATTTTGTAATTTCTTTGGAGCTAAATAAAAAGCCTCGTAGATCAGGGAATTTCACCCTTCCCCTGAAGCCTTCCAACTGTGAATAAATTATGAACACAACCATCTTGACAGCTCAGCCCTTTGACAGGATCCATGTTCAATCTTGTAAACTGCACATTCATGTAATCCGAGTTTCCAGGAAATCCTATAGGAGCAAAATGATGGATTGGATTTGACAGCCAATTTCCCCCCTTCCTTTTGCTATATAACCACAGTATTCTTGAATGCATTGTACATAAAATAAGAGGTGGCAGTAATCCAGAACCCATGCAGACTCGTAAAGAGAAGCTGCTCCATCAGCTTTCATAGTTGCCTCTTAAGGAACCCAGCTGGTATGTGGCACTGCCTCCTTGGATTACTGCCAGTATCTGTATATATTAGCTGGCACACATGGCCTCACGGCTAGAAGCTGAGAAGCCCTGTTTAAATCTAACCTTTGCCATAAACCAGTGGTTCTCAACCTTCCTAAAGCCGCGACCCCTTAACACAGTTCCTCATGTTGCGGTGACCCCCAACCAGCAAATTATTTTCATGACAACATCACAACTGTAATTTTGCTCCTGTTATGAAGCATAATGTAAATATCTGAAATGCAGGATGTATTTTTATTCACTGGACCAAATTTGGCAAAAATACCCAATACACCCAAATTTGAACACTGGTGGCGTTGGGTGGGGGATTTTGTCATTTGGGAGTTGTAGCTGCTGGGATTTATAGTTCACCTACAATCAAAGAGCATTCCAAACGCCACCAATGATGGAATTGAACCGATACACCCAAATTTGAACACTGGTAGCGTTGGGTGGGGGATTGATTTTGTCATTTGGGAGTTGTAGTTGCTGGGATTTATAGTTCACCTACCATCAAAGAGCATTCCAAACTCCACCAATGATGGAATTGAACCAAACTCGGCACACAGAATTCCCATTACCAACAGAAAATACTGGAAGGGTATGATGGGCACTGACTGAGTTTTGGAGTTGTAGTTCACCTACATCCCGAGAGCTCTGTGGATTCAAACAGTAATGAATCTGGACCAAATTTGACATGAAAATCAATATGCCCAAATGTGAACTCTGCTGGAGTTTGGGGAAAATAGACCTTGACATTGGGAGTTGTAGTTACTGGGATTTATAGTTCACCTACAATCAAAGAGCATTCTGAACCCCACCAAGGTTAGAATTTGGCCAAACTTCCCACACAGAACCCCCATGACTAACAGAAAATACTGTGTCTTTGGCGACCCCTCTGACACCCCCTCTCAACCCCTCCAGGGGTCCTGACCCCCAGGTTGAGAAACGTTGCCATAATCCAACCCTCAGCTTCAATCCCTTCTACCATTTCTCTGTGATATAAAATATTGCTGTATGCTGCTGTTATGTTTTGGTTGAAAGTAATAAAATTCACATGATGTTGATTTTATCTTTCTGGATTTAGCTGGATCCTCTTGAACAAGCAAAATTAGATTTAGTTTCTGCTTACACATTGAATTCAATGTTTTGGGGTAAGTATGCCAAGTCAAGCATTCGTAGCAACAATGAGTATCCCCTTATCTTACTGTGTATTTAAGTATGTGATGCTGTAACTAGTTAGCTATTTTATTTAGTTTTTGAAAATGATTTTCCTTTCCTTTTATAAATGACTAGCTGTGCCCTGCCACACATTGCTGTGGCCTATAGTAAGAATTTTCAAAGTAGAGGTAGATATCTGGACTATTATGAAAGAGAGGTACCTACCTATTCCTTCCCCCCTTTCTCTCCTTTCGTCCTTCTCTACCTCTTTTTTTCATTCCTTCTTTCGCTCTTTGGTTTCATCCTTCTCTCTTTTCTTCCTTTTCTCCCCCTTTCTCTACTTCTTCCTTTGTCTCCTTTCTTCCCTCCCTGTTTCCTTCCTTCTTTCACTTTTTATTTCCTTTTCTCCTTCCTTCTTTACTTCTTTCCTGCATTTCCCTCCTTTTTTCTTTCCTTTTTACTTTTCTTCTTCCTTCCTTTGGTACTTCTTTCCTTCCTTCCCTCCTTCCTTCTTTCCCTCCCTCCTTTTCTCTTTCCTTCCTTCCCTCCCCTTTTCCCTCCTTCAGTCCTTCCCTTTTTCCCTCCTTTCTTCTCTCCTTCCTTCCTCTCTGTCCTCCCCCAATACCATGGTAGAGTCCCTTCTATGTCTATTCTATGAGTCTATGTAATATAGTAATAGTAGTAACATTATATTATATAGTAGTGTATATAACAATAAAATATTTAATATATATGTATTATACAGCAATATATACAGCAATATATATAATAGTAATATATAAAGTATTATATATATAGAAAGGAGTTGCAATCCATCACCTTTGGAAAGCTCAAGGAATCACTCTGCACATGCTCAGAGGCACCCAGCAATTCCAAGAATCTTTGCCCACAAAACTTCTCCTCTTGCAGGCCTCAGCCCCCAATCTCAGGCTCCTGCCTCTCACCTTTTCTCCTCCAAACAGGAGCCTCCTCTGCAGTAAATAAAGCTTTTGGTCACTCTTGCTGGCCCTGGAGAGTGGTGGGCAGGGTAATCCTTGGCCCCCCCCCCCCAGGAGCCATGTGACACAAACTTAAAGTTAGCATGGGGCTGGAAGCCTGCAGAGCCATAGCCAGGAATCCGGTGGATGCTGCAGAAGGGAGAGAGAGAGAGAGAGAGAGAGAGGAGAGTCCGTCTCCCTTCCTGCTGCTCCTCCCACCCTCTCTCTCTGCCTCTTTTGCTGCTGCTGTTTCCTCCGATATGTTGGAGCATAGAGAATCCAAAAAAGAAGGGCATTGCTGCAGAGTGAAGGCACAAAGTAAATCTAAAGTGTTGTTTACCTCTTTTTGTTTGTTCTTTCCCCTCAGCTCCTAATGTGCCCCCCCATCCCTCCTTTCCTTCAGTTGCAAGTTTACTCCTTGGAACATAGTGTCAGGGTAGCAAGCCTGCGGGGATGAGGGCTTTTCCTCCAGCTCCTGAAGGGAGGGCCTCCATGGGAGCCTGCTGGGCATGTGCACTCGCTGCTGGCCATGCACGTGCACTCCCTCCTTCCCCCTCCCTCTCTGAGGCTTACAATTGAACGTCTTTCTAAGGGAGGTGGGGTGAGAGAGGGGGAAGTGTATTTTGGGGGGTTTTTTTGAGTGGAGAACATACATTGGGTTGTTAGGTGTATTGTGTCCAAATTTGGTGCCAATTCCCCCAGTGCTTTTTGAGTTCTGATGGTATCACAAACGAACATTACCTTTTTATTTATATAGATAAAGATGAGCTTTGCTCTTTAAGCATTTGGCATATCTTAATAGGTGATCATACTCCTTTTCTTGTTCTTTGTTTCCCCTCCCTTACTGCTTTTCTCTTGTAGAGCACTGAATCCTCTTCACTCAAGTATTAATCACTTTATATTGAAATTGCTATGGTTTAGTTAGCCAAATAATTTTCCAGTCCTGACATGTCAACTTGCCTGTCATGTGTGTTCTTGGGAATGTATTGCTAGTGTCCTATTAAAATATATATATATTCATCTTGCAGTCTACCTGGCCACGCAGGGAATTAATCCAAAGGAGCACCCAGTGAAACAGGAATTGGTAAGAGTCTTATTTTAAATACAGGGCAAAATTCCTCTTGTCGAGACAAGTGCTTTGACGGTATTAAATCAAGTCTAAAAATATGATTCTGTTGTCAGGGAGGGCTCATCAGTCTTTGCTTCCTAAAAATGAAGTAGTTAAATGCTTCCAAATGAAACAGCAGGGAAACTGTTATGACACACTGTATTGTCGAAGGCTTTCATGGCCAGAATCACTGGGTTGTTGTCAGTTTTTTCAGGCTATAGCCATGTTCTAGAGGCATTCTCTCCTGATGTTTCGCCTGCATCTATGGCAAACATCCTCAAAGGTAGTGAGGTTGTTGGCTGTTGGAACTACAATTATGAGAGACCATGGTTTGAATTCCTGCTCGATCATGGAAATCCACTGGGAGGCCCAGGACAAGTCACATTCTCTCAGCCACCGGGGAAGGCATTGGCAACACCCTCTGAACAAATTGTGCCAAGAACATGTCAGAGTTAGACCCTCCGGTCTCAGCACAGCAAGCATGAGGTTTCCAAAATAGACAGACTCAATTACCACACAGCATTCTTCTTCAGTTCCAAGATAGCTTTACTAGAAGCGTCTATTTACAAGCGACTACATGTTGATAATGAAAGATGGCGACTACCAAAGTACAAAGACTAAACACAGAGGCAAAGAAAACATCCTGACCTTCCGGCTGGTTCACTCCCTTTTTCTTCTCTGGGCAAAAGAATTTCTGTTATCTCAGTCTCAAGGACTTTTACTCTCACTGCCTCTAGTGACTACAATTCTAGCACACAGCTGAACATAACTGAATCCATCTTTGAACTGCACTACTAACACATTGCAATACTAACACTAACACATTGAAAAACATATATAAAATAACTGCAAATATCCTGACAACCCATTTTAGGTTGCCATAAGTTGAAAGCCACTTGAAAGCACACAATAAAATATTAAATGATGCCTCCATTCCATTTCAGAGTAAAAATATGGCATTTACTCCATGTGTAGTAAGGATTTTTTCAATGAGTAGGAAACTATCCCATCTTGATCAGCTTCATGTGGAGTCTGCTGCTGGTGTAAATTTCAGCAGTCCATTTCTTCCCCTTTACGTTCAATTTTTGGGCCCTTCCAGACAGCTGAATAAAATCCCACATTATCTGAACTGGGATATATGACAGTGTGGACTCAGATAACCCAGTTCAAAGCAGATATTGTGGGTTATTCTATTTTGTTATTCTGGGTTAGGAGACGCCGGTGGCGTAGTGGATTAAATCACTGAACTGCTAAGCTTGTTGACCAAAAAGGTTGCAGGTTCGAATCTGGGGAGCAGTGTGAGCTTCCGCTGTTAGCCCCAGCTTCTGCCAACCTAGCAGTTCGAAAACATGCAAATGTGAGTAGATCAATAGGTACCGCTCCGATAGGAAGGTAACGGTGCTCCATGCAGTCATGCTGGCCACATGACCTTGGAGGTTTCTACGGACAACGCCAGCTCTTTGGCTTAGAAATGGAGATGAGCACCACACCCCAGAGTTGGACACGACTGGACTTAATGTCTGGGGACAACCTTTACCTTTACCTATTCTGGGTTACATGACTGTGTGGAAGGGCCCTGGGGTGATCCAGAAAGAAACCAATTGTAGATTTGTTCATAAAAGTAGTTGTCTGATCTGGATTTGTACAGCAGAAATTGGCACGATTTGTACAGCAGAAATTGGATGTGCATTATTCTTTTCTCTATAGATTTGGTCATTGAGACTAAATGAGTTTGTGTTGTGAATTACTGGTTGGAGTTAAATCTGCATTTCACAGAATATCTCACACCAATCGGGTGGAAAGTGATAGTAAACATTCCTCTGCTCCTCATATATACCAGAATATACCAATCTGCATATTGTATAGTTCTCTTGAGCTGTGTCCATATGGCAGCAAGCTAGAACTGAATTGTAACTTAGTTTGTGAATGTTTTTGAAATTTTCCCTAGTAGACTCTATATGGCTGGAGCCGCATACTGCCCAGCTTCACTGTCTCTTGAAATACATATGTTGTGAATTTCAGCCCTGGAAATAGATGCATTGCAGGACAAATCTCAAAAAGGTTGCAGCTTGTGTCAAGCTAAGGCGCAACTTGACAGAAGCAAATGCTAGATACACCAGATACAGCTCTGTAAAATCATGGACTCTGGAGACATCAGATTACAAAGAAAACTCAGTTTACTAAGCACATCTAAAACATGTCCACCTACAGCGAGCGACACACAGGAAAAAACTGAAAGTCAAAACAGTTCTTTACAGCTGCTTAGCTCTGCTGCTCCAAACGGTTAACTCCCAAAATTTCTCAGCAGCAGAGAGCTTATCTTAAGGTCACTCAATCACAGCCTCAACATAAACGTTTCAGCATAGCATTTAATTCTAAGTGGCACCCATATTGGTAATACAAGAATTACATTTAAAACACACAATATACCTCAACATATTCGGACAACTCGTATTCTCCTGGGAATGTGGCCAATAATAGCTTCTTTGAGGTTGCAGTGGTTCTCAGCCTGTGGGTCTGTAGGTGTTTTGGCCTACAACTCCCAGAAATCCCAGCCAGTTTACCAGCTGTTAGGATTTCTGGGAGTTGAAGGCCAAAACATCTGGGGACCCGCAAGTTGAGAACCACTGTTTTAGATGAAAGTACCAAAAGAAGTTGGGAGTGCCTGGTTTTCCCACTTTACACATATTCTATCTACGGCAGTGTTTCTCAACCTGGGGGTCGGGACCCCAAAGGGGGTCGCCAGGGGGTTCCAGAGGGGTCGCCAAAGACCATCAGTATTTTCTGTTGGTCATGGGGGTTCTGTGTGGAAAGTTTGGCCCAATTTTATCGTTGGTGGGGTCAGAATGCTTTTTGATTGTAGGTGAACTATAAATCCCAGCAACTATAACTCCGAAATGTCGAGTTCTATTTTCCCCAAGCTCCACCAGTGTTCAGATTTCGGCACATTGAGTATTCGTGCCAAGTTTGGTCCAGATCCATCATCATTTGAGTCCACGGTACTCTCTGGATGTAAGTGAACTACAACTCCAAAACTCAAGGTCAATGTCCACCAAATTCTTCCAGTATTTTCTATTGGTAATGGGAGTTCTGTTTGCCAGGTTTGGTTCAGTTCCATCGTTGGTGGGGTTCAGAATGATCTTTGATTATAGGTGAACTATATATCCCAGCAACTACAACTCCCAAGTGGCAAAATCAATCCCCTTCCCCAACCTCACCAGTATTCAAATTTGGGTGTATTGGATATTTGTGCCAAATTTGGTCCAGTGAATGAAGATACATACTGTGTATCAGATATTTATATTATGATTCATAAAAGTAGCAAAATTACAGTTATGAAGTAGCAACAAAAATAATTTTATGGTTGAGGGTCACCACACCTTGAGGAACTGAATTTAGGGGTTGCGGCATTAGGAAGGTTGAGAAACACTGATCTACGGCATATACCCATTGACACATGTCCTGACGGACTACCTAAACCTTTTTCAGGACAGTTCTAATGAGCAGAAACACTTTCCAGAAAGGCAAAGCTGCCCTGCGATGCAACCCATGTGATGTGCTTCTAAACTGGGATTTCCACCATGTATTTTTGCTTAAAATAAAATGGTTTGTCTGAAAGTAGGTTTCATTTTCAGTGCGATTCTTAAAAAGGTTACACGTTAAACCAAAACAATCCTTCTTTCTTCTAAGACTCCGATTTTGTGCCTACAGCTTTTCACTTAAGGAATGGAAAAATGTAACATGTCTAATCATTATTTATAACTTCCAGTACAGTGTGTTTTCCTATAAATAGTTGGACTAGTGTTAATCTCTGAGGCTACCTTTTGTTACTCCTGTATGACTTTAAAAGTATCGTGTGGTTGATTTACTAGCAAAGACGGGAAAGATCTCCCTCCCCTTTTCCAATCCTTCCATTAATTCATTTTCTCAGCAGTAAAAAACCCAGTTCGGCAACAAAGCTAAAAGCTTTTTTGGCACTAGTTGTATGTGTACTGTCCAGTAATTCTGCATTAGTGACATATTTATTGCCTATAATAAATCTTTTCCGTTTGTCTTTATAATCCATTTAGATACACGAGTATAGTATATAAGAGTGGATATCTTGGAAATTCTGCTGACTTTGATTTAGCTTGGAGGATACAAAAATACAGATCAGATCTGTGGTTGTCGATCTGAATTTTATGTTATATGTATTATACACATATGTAGCAGTGCTAAAATAATAATAAAAAGTATGCACTTATAAGTGAAGATAATAAATAAAACTAATTCTTCAGTAAATTGGTAGTTTAGTCTCTTTTCTGTACATATTTCACAGTTGGATTTTATGATACATTCTTTTGAAAAGAAAAATTGGATTCATTCAAGCTCTTATCAGAACGAAATCAACATCCATTTTTTTTACTCCTTCTGTCGGTATGAAAAGTGTGTCATTCTTGCTCATAGTAAATATATTGAGGGATGAAAAGCTCAAACAGCATGACCGTGTGAACTCCCTAAGGAAAGTAAAGTTTTTCTAGTTTTTTATAGATACGATAATATGAGCACCTGGGAATATGTGATGAAAATTGATGTTATTTCTCTCCAAAGGATAGTATAATGTTTTTACCTTGCATATGGAAGATGAATAATTATTTGTTGATTTCTTTTTGGTGCTTAGGACAGCGTGAAGGAACTAATATGTCATGTGTGCAATGAAACTTCTCATTCAGGCTGGGAGAATTCATTTTGTTTGTTAACTTCTATCATCTCTTTTTACCTGCATCATTGCAGATCCCAAATAACATTAAGCCATGATCTAGCACTGTGTGGATGAGCCCCAACAAAGCCTTTTGCTCATCCCTTTATTTGTATTGTCGAAGGCTTTCATGGCCGGAATCACTGGGTTGTTGTAGGTTTTTTCGGGCTGTATGGCCATGGTCTAGAGGCATTCTCTCCTGACGTTTCACCTGCATCTATGGCAAGCATCCTCAGAGGTAGTGAGGTCTGTTGGAACTAGGAAAAAGGGTTTATATATCTGTGGAATGACCAGGGTGGGACAAAGGACTCTTGTCTGCTGGAGCTAGGTGTGAATGTTTCAACTGACTGTGGGCTGACTGTGCCTGGAGCAAACTTTTGTTGAGAGGTAATTAGATGTCCCTGCCTGTTTCCTCTCTGTTGTTGCACTGTTGCAATTTTTGAGTTTTTTAATACTGATAACCAGATTTTGTTCATTTTCATGGTTTCCTCCTTTCTGTTGAAATTGTCCACATGCTTGTGGATTTCAATGGCTTCTCTGTGTAGTCTGACATGGTGGTTGTGAGAGTGGTCCAGCATTTCTGTGTTCTCAAATAATATGCTGCGTCCAGGTTGGTTCATCAGGTGCTCTGCTATGGCTGACTTCTCTGGTTGAAGTAGTCTGCAGTGCCTTTCATGTTCCTTGATTCGTGTTTGGGCAATGCTGCGTTTGGTGGTCCCTATGTAGACTTGTCCACAGCTGCATGGTACACGGTAGACTCCTGCAGAAGTGAGAGGATCCCTCTTTGCTGAACGTAGCATTTGTTGGATTTTCTTGGTGGGTCTGTAGATAGTTTGTATGTTGTGTTTCCTCATCAGCCTCCCTATGCGGTCAGTGGTTCCCTTGATGTATGGCAGGAACACTTTTCCTCTGGGTGGATCTTCGTCTTTATTCTCGTGGCTTGTTCTTGGTCTTGCAGCTCTTCTGATGTCTGAGGTGGAGTATCCATTGGCCTGTAGAGCACAGTTGAGGTGGTTCAGTTCATCTTGGAGGAGGTGGGGTTCGCAGATTCTTTTTGCACGGTCTGCCAAGGCTTTAATGGTGCTTCTTTTTTGACTTGGGTGATGGTTGGAGTTTTTATGTAGATGCCAACTCTTGTGTTCTACTTAAAAAATCGTGAATCATTTTGTGTCATGGTAGAAAACGTTTGCATTTTCAAATTTTTCTTTATTTTTCAGGAAAGAATAAGAACATACATGAACAGAGTCAAAGAGATAGCAGACAAGAAGAAAGCTGCCAAACTGGATAAGGGTGCTGCTTCAAGATTTCTACGAAATGCATTGTACGAGCCCAAATCTCAAAGCAAGGCTGAAAAGAAAACACCTGTTCCAGCCAAAAGGAAGAAAACACATTAGGGTTTTGCTGTTTTTTTCGTAATTGCTATATAAAGAAGGAACTCTTTTAATTGTGTTTTGATACGTTTTATAGTCAAAATGTATTTTGATGGAATAAGCTGACTTTTTTTGTTATTACACTATGGCTTCATGTGTCTGAATAGGTTTAGCATTATGTTGACCTGCCTTTCTAGTAGGCTATTTTTAAATTAAAGTGTTATTTATATAACAAAGAGCAATAACACCAAGCAGGAGTCCTCTCAGTGCCCTATCCACATTTATGTTTTTGGCTTTTTATTAAATTGATGATATATATGTGCTACCCCAACCTTCTCACTGCATTGTATTTTCTATCATTTTTGATCCATTAAACTAAGCATAGACAAACCTCGACCCTTCAGGAGTTTTGGACTTCGACTCCCAGAAATCCCAGCCCATTTACCTGCTGTTAGGAATTGTGGGCATTGAATAATAATAATAATAATAATAATAATAATAATAATAATAATAATAATGCTGGTCGCTTCATGAACCCTTTACATCTACTGAATTGGACATGGCTCTCAACAAATGTAAAAATGGCAAAGCAGCTGGCCTGGATGATCTACGGATGGAACAAATCAAGAACTTTGGTCCAAAAGCAAGGCGCTGGCTGCTGGAGCTGATGAACAACTGCACTGCATCCTGTCAGATCCCCAAAATCTGGAGGAAAGCAAGAGTCATCGCCATCTTGAAGCCAGGCAAAGACCGCAATGACCCAAAAAGCTACAGACCAATCTCCTGTTGTGCCACCTCTACAAAGTTCTGGAGAGACTTATTTTGCATAGAATTACGGAAAAAATAGACCCCTGTCTGATCCCACAGCAAGCTGGCTTCAGAAAAGGCAAAAGCTGCACATCGCAAGTGTTGAACCTGACTCAGCACATAGAAGATGGCTTTGAAAGGCAGCAGATCACAGGAGCTGTCTTCATAGACCTGTCAGCAGCCTATGATACTGTGAACCACCACCTCCTCCTGAGAAAAATGTATAATATCACAAAGGACTACCACCTCACCCGCCTCATAGGAAACCTGCTACAAAACAGGAGCTTTTTTGTTGAGTTCCAGGGCCAGAGAAGCAGATGGCGGAAACAGAAGAACGGCCTGCCTCAGGGGAGCGTGCTTGCTCCATCCATGTTCAACATCTACACAAATGACCAGCCACTGCCAGAAGGGACAGAGAGTTTCATCTATGCTGATGATCGTGCCATTACCTCTCAAGCAGGGAGCTTTGGCCACACATACACACATAATAATAATAATAATAATAATAATAATAATAATAATAATAACTTTATGTATACCCCGCCACCATCTCCCCAAGGGACTCGGAGCGGCTTACATGAGGCCAAGCCCAACAACACATCAATAAAACCAGAAAGCAATAAACAAAAACAATACAATTAGTATAAATCACATATAAACAGTAACGCACAAGTTTTTAAAACCTATGGCTTGGACAAATGTAATAGTTTAAAATTTAAAAATAAATGCTGGGCATGAACAAGGTAAGATATATCTGGTAGGAAGGTTTTTAAAGAAGTGAGAGTGCAATGCAACGAATAAAGTGCATTCAGAGGACATTTTGCTGGGAATTATTTCCTTATTCCGGGAAGGCACACTGGAACAGCCACGTTTTATTTATTTATTTACATTATTTCTATCCTGCCCATATCAGCCTGAAGGTGACTCAGGGCAGCATACACAGTCGGCACCATTTGATGCCATAAAATACATAAATAAAGCAAAAAGAAACATTACAATACATTTAAACATAAAGACAATGAATAATAAAAAGTTTTCAGGCTCCTCCTAAAGACTGTCAATGTTGGGGCATGCCTGATACCCCTGGGAAGTGAGTTCCAGAGTCGGGGGGGCCACCACCAAAAAGGCCTTCTCCCTCGTCCTAACCAACCTCGCCTGTGAGGGGTGTGGGAGCGAGAGCAGGGCCTCTCCAGATAATGGGGATTGTGGCGCAGCTGGCTGAGTGTCAGCTGCATTAAGATCACTCTGACCAAAAGGTCATGAGTTCGAAGCCAGCCCGTGTTGGAGTGGGTTTCCAACCAATTGTGTGTAGCCTGTTGTCGACCTTTGCAACCCGAAAGACAGTTGCATCTGTCAAGTAGGAAAATAAGGTACCACCTTAAAGTGTGGGGAGGCTAAATTAACTGATTTATGAGGCCATAAAGAAGACTCCAGCAAAGCATTCCAGCGGGGAAGCATGCGGGGAATGCGGAAGTGCTTCATCAGCGTCGCAGATGGACGATGAAAGCGACAGCTCCCCGGCGGCCAGAAAACTTAAATAGCCTCTGTGTATGTCTGTATATGTTTGTATGTCAAAAATTGGCATTGAATGTTTGCCACATATGTGTACCCTGAGTCCCCTGCGGGGTGAGAAGGGCGGAATAGAAAAGCTGTAAATAAATAATAATAAATAAATAAATCGAAGAGATTGTGTGCGTTCGTACACAGAAAGGCAGTCACGCAAGTAGGCGGGTCCTACTTGCACCTTGAATTGGGACCGGAAAATGAATGGCAGCCAATGGAGCTCCTTAAACAGGGGAAGCCAAAAACACCTGGATGGCCAAAGTTTGCCCATGCCTATGTTAAACATTACAACGTATTCTTACCTGTACAAGCTGAAGAGTGAAGTACAGCAACGCAGGTAAGTCTGCAGATTGCCCTGCCAGCGTTCAGACGCACGAACTTCTTGGCACCCAGCATGCCTTAAATATCCACTTGAATAAATTAGCTCTAGTAAAAATGTTTTATTGTGTCACAGGCTTTGCTGGCTCTGTCACTGAATTGAGTGCTTTTCTAATCAGCCCTATCTCTGCAGTTTTTTTCTCAATTGCTGGCTCAAACCCTTGAAATCTTATAATGATCCAGAATGCCTACAACCTGTCCTTATAATTTCTAAAACATTATCGCCTACTGCTAATTTTTAATATCTCTGTTGATGTCTAATGAATGGTGTCCCAAACTAAATTGTAATACTATACTAAACAAACTTAGGTAGGTAAATTGGCATAAATAGATGTAGTTTTGCTACAGTGGCATCGAGTTAGTGGTAACGTCACAACTGATCTTTTCGGAAAACCAGTGGAAATGAAAAGCTATTTACTGGCAGTCCTGTAAAGTTGTCTTCTTCCAAGCTTCCATAGCTCAGTGGTTCTCAACCTATTAGGCCTGGGTAACAACGCAAAAATTTGGTTTTGTAATCGTTTTGTAATTGGGGTGTTTTTTTGTTTCGATATTTAAAATAATTACAAAACTTTCCAAAAAAAAGTTTCGGTATTTACAAAATTTCGTAAATATTTACAAAACATTTTGTAAAGATGGCGCCCTTTTTTTTTCAATATTTTTTAAAATATTTTTTAAATTTAATTATTAATTTAGTAGAATAGGGAGGAGAAATTAAAATTATTATTATTAAATTTAAATTATTATTAAGGAGGGAAGGCAGGCACTCACTCTGGCGGGCCCTCTCGCTCGCTCGCCGCTCGCTCGCCCCTCTCGCTCGCCGCTTGTGGGGTTCAGAACGCTCTTTGATTGCAGGTGAACCATAAATCCCCGTAACTAAAACTCCCAAATGTCAAGGTCTATTTCCCGCAAACTCCATCTGTGTTCATATTTGGGTGTATATTGAGTGCTTTTGCCAAGTGTGGTCCAGATCCATCATTGTTTGAGTCCCTCTCGCTCTCCGCTCGCCTGCCCCTCTCGCTCTCCGCTCACTCGCCCCTCTCGCTCGCCGCTCTCTCGCCCCTCTCGCTCGGCTCGCCGCTCTCTCGCCCCTCTCGCTCTCCGCTCTCTCGCCCCTCTCGCTCGCCGCTCTCTCGCCCCTCTCGCTCGGCTCGCCGCTCGCTCGCCCCTCTCGCTCTCCGCTCTCTCGCCCCTCTCGCTCGCCGCTCTCTCGCCCCTCTCGCTCGGCTCGCCGCTCTCTCGCCCCTCTCGCTCTCCGCTCTCTCGCCCCTCTCGCTCGCCGCTCTCTCGCCCCTCTCGCCCTCTCACTCGCCCTCTCGCTCGCCGCTCGCCCTCTCGCTCGCCGCTCGCCCTCTCACTCGCCGCTCGCCCTCTCACTCGCCCTCTCGCTCGGCTCGCCGCTCGCTCGCCCCTCTCGCTCTCCGCTCGCTCACCCCTCTCGCTGGCCAAGTGTGGTCCAGATCCATCATTGTTTGAGTCTGTAGTGGTCTCTGGATGTAGGTGAACTACAACTCCAAAACTGAAGGTCAATGGCCCACCAAGCCCTTCCCTGACAGATGGCCATCCAGCCTCTGTTTCAAAGAGTCTCCACCGCACTCCCTCTGGGGCAGAGAGTTTCACAGCTGAATGGCTCTCACCGTCGCCGCTCGCTCGCCCCTCTCGCTCGCCCTCTCCCTCGCTTGCTCAGCCGGCAGAGCTCCCAGCAAGCATCGGCAGACGGCCATCTTAGGTATTTCCGAAATGGACGGAAATACAAAATTTTTTGGCGCCTGCCGTTTCGATATTTAAAAACACTTCCAGGTTAAAAAAAAAGTTTTGTTATCATTTCGTAATTCAAAAAATAACGAATTTTTAACGAATTAACGAAACGAATAGCCCAGCCCTACAACCTATGGATCTCCAGGTGTTTTGGCCTCCAGCTCCCAGAAATCCCAGCCAGTTTAGCAGTTGTTAGGATTTCTGGGAGTTGAAGGCCAAAGTATCTGGGGACCCACAGGTTGAGAACCATTGCCATAGCTGATGTTCAGTTTCACTTTTCAGCCTATTTATAAGCCTGGGATCTGATAAAATATATTTGTTGGAGCCAGTTTATTTATGTGAATACTTAATAAACTTCTTCAAACCTTCCCCAAGCTAACCTGGTTTCTTTTGAGCAACAGCACACCAAAACTAAATGCCACAAAGAGTATATTGTATGCTATAAAATCAGATCTGCCCATTTATTTATTTATTGGATCAGAAGCAAACCAAGGGTACAGTTGAAATTTATTTAAAAAACACAAAGTTCAAAAAACTTGGCTTTATATTAAATGTCCTTTGACCAGTAGCTGGCCGCTTGGAGTGCCTCTGGTCTTGCTACAAGAAGGTCCTCCATTGTGCATGTGGCAGGGTTCAAGCTGCATTGCAATAGGTGGTCTGTGGTTTGCTCTTCTCCACACTCGCATGTCATGGACTCCACTTTGTGGACTCCACTTTGTCTGCAATCCTTAAAAAAACCTCTGCCTATCAGAGATGGGGTTTATCCGCATCCCCAAGCTTCCTTCCAATGCAAAAAAAATAATAAAAATCAATCAGCCAGAAATGCTG